CCTTGTCATATAGCTGGAATATCGCTGAGTGTGGCTTTAGACAACAAACAAACAAACAAATAAACAAACAAACAGACAACCTGCAATCCATTCTGTGTATGACTACTCACTGTGAAGGAATAACTTAGTGACATATATATGTGTAAAATGAATAATAACGGGTATGGTGCTGACCGACCAAGGATAATTTTCTCAGAATCGAATCTAACCTCAATCCTGGCAGGCTAAAGGACACAAGTCCACCATGTCACACGTGTCTATGATTCAGCAGTCGTGACCAACCATGAGTGAGTGAGTGAGTGAGTGAGTATGGTTTTACGCCGCTTTTAGCAATATTCCAGCAATATCACGACAGGGGACACCAGGAATGGGCTTCACACATTTGTACCCATGTCAGGAATCGAACCCGGGTCTTCAGCGTGACGAGCGAACGCTTTAACCACTAGGCTACCTGACCGCCCCTGACCAACCATGAGATAAGGGTCCTTATGGGTGAAAAATCACATTTTGACTTTTCATTATATTTTAAAACTACAGCATCTTTGGAACAGAAAAATACAATTCACAAGCTTCAATTCATATTTATTGACACTTGACATCACTCACAGCTATCTTCGCTGAAGTAAGTTGATGTCAAATGTCTTAATGATGTCATAGCACAAATATATGCAGGCACCAATAAGGTCCCTTTTCTCTTGGTGGGTCACATTTAAAGTTTTGTTGACTTTCATAAGAGACATGAACAATGAACAATAATTTGTCATTAATTAAATAAAGAATTATTACATTCATAGTCATACTATGATAATTGTTCTGTTTTCTGCTCTAGCCGAGTCACATTCTATGGCGATATGTACCAGAATCTTTTTGGAGCTGAAAATATTTTCCATCACGAAGTTGCCAGGGTAAGTTATATTTCTTTAAACCAGAGTCTTGAAGTCTGTGATGTGTATTCCATTCAGTATGTAGATAAGGTCTGTCGGACATCAACTCCGATCTATATAGACCTACAGAGTTGCATCTATCAACATGATAAATAAAACAAACAAGTTAATCTGAATGTTAATCTGTGAAACATCTATGGATAACCTGCCACTGGAACACCTAACATTAAAGACCAATACTGGGGATGCATGGAAACCGTTGCCTACACCAAAAGTTGCTTGCGTCTGATGTATGTTACCAAGACAACATGATCAGCTCACATCAATTTGGGTATAGAGGTTTTACTCAGATGTTCACCTTTACTTGCAGTGTTCTAAGATCTCTTGAGTGAGTGAATATGGTTTTATGTCATTTTTAGCAATATTCCATCATTGCCACAGCTGGGGAACCAGATATGTGAGAGTGAGTGAGTGAGTTGGGTTTAATGCAGCTTTTAACAGTATTCTGGTTATATTGCGGCGTGTCAGCTTAATGTGGGAGGAAAGCCCGAAGTGATGCAGGTCTCAGACGTTTACCACTTCGGTGAAACCCACGAGCACGGGTATGGTGCTGACTAACCTAGAAACATAATCAGGGCGAACTGGGATTCGAACCCACAATCATAGGTTTCTGGCGTGCCCCAGGGACGTAACTCTGCAATGTAAAATCTCTGGAAGGTAGCCTGTGTTCAATTCCCTTTATAGGTTCAATGTGTGAAGCACACTTCTGGTGTATCCCGTCGTGATATTGCTGAAATATTGCGAAAAGTGGCGTAAAACCATATTTACTCACTCTAAGATGTCTGTGTCATATTTCTGGAGCAGGTGGACAAAGATTGACAATGTTCATTTACTTTTGAGGGGGAGTGGAATGAGAATGTGATGTTTTTCAGGTTTGTTTTTTTTCGAAATAGGGTCAGTCAGTTAGCCTAGTGGTTAAACTGTTTGCCCATCATACCAGTGACTTTGACTCAAACCCTATATTTACCATGTACCGCCTATTCTTAGTGTCCCCTGCCATGATATTGCTGGAATACTGCTGAAAGTATCTGACTCTTAACAATATGAGGACTATGATGTATCTTTGGATGACTTAGGGAAAGGAAAATTGCACAATCAGTTGCCTCAAGGGGTGATTTGTCATATTGAAAACCATATGCAACAACAGCATGGGTTGTTGCCTTGAAGTACAGTGTGCTCTATATGTTCCTTCAGAAAGCAGTGTGAAGTTTGTAGCCACAGGGCTCAGACTGAGCTGTAAATACATCACGGCAGGACATGTTTGATTATTATACGGTCATTACATAACTGACATTATGCTGGGGTGGCAGAACGATGGATGCAGTTGCCAGGGGCACTGTTTAGAGTTGAACAGAGGCATTTCACCTCAATTTATAGAAAGACATTTTTAGCATTTTATGTCATATTAAAGTAAGGTGAATTTGTTACTTTATGTGACATCCCCATGATAAATTGATTGTGAGAAAGATTTTCATTTGGGCAAGATTGATACACTGATAGTATGATGGATTTCCATTTGGGCCTGATTGTGTGAAACACTGTACAAGGAAAACATGACACCATCTGCCCGAGGCAAGGGAGTTAAATGACTCTAAAAGTCCAGTTTCCATCCTTGCTGAACTAGGCTGGAATTACTGGGCTCTATCGTAGCGCCACCAGTGGCTATTACCAGTTATGTCCCTTCTAAGCCCCTCCTGTGGAGCAATCAGATTCCACCTCTCGTATCACTTGCGTTTGCTTCACACAAAATGGTGGCGCCCAGTCAGGACGATCTGATCGATAATCAAGATCTGTATTGTGATAAAATGGGTCTTACATCACGAAATGCATCAAATCACGTGAGCACCTTGATTAAAAACATGAACAGATTTGGAAAATATCTGCTGACAAAGAGTTGGCAGTGCACATGCTTTGCAAATCCGAAATCTGCACGACAGTTTACCAACCGGATTTTGATTTCGGTGTGCGATTTTGATTGGACTATGCACAGACTCGTTAGTCCCACCAAAATGTAACTCCATAATACCAGCCTAGTTCGGCAAGGGTGGAAACTGGACTTTTATTGTCAGTTAACTCTCTTGCCTCGGGAAGATGACATGACACAGACATGACACAGTCAGGACTCAGACACAACACAAATACAACATGATGCAGACATGATACACACTTGACACAGACATGACTCATACGTGAGACAGACTTGAGTTTGGTTTTCAGCCACTTATACGCAAACTGTTAGTCTTGTGTGTAAGAACTCTGATGGATAAAAGAAGCTACCTGTATATTTCAAGGGATTTTAGCCAGTAGATTCAACAGCATTGTTGTAACGGCATCCACCTGAATTATTGTTTGCTGATCAGTTACATCATTATCGGTACCATTGATTTCACTAATTTCATCTTCACTTTGAAAAAGTTCATCCACTTTACAGAAATCTAGAAATGGATCATGAATAAGAGATGAAAACAGATCTCTTAAACTTACCCGTAATATGTTGTATGGAGATGATGTATTTATGGTACATCGGTAATACTTTACGGGTTTGTATTCCCTGTTCCTCCATGGCTTGTGAATACATATAGTCGCTTTGCGGTGTAGTCACTTTTTCTAACTAACAATTGGAACCATGGCCTGGTTCCATTGAGAGGGAAACCAGTGAATGCTCAGACCAATGAATGTTCAGTTTACAGGGGCAATATTTCTCTCTAGAAAATATGCCATGGCCTACTTGTACAAATTTTGTGTATTTCGTACACTTAAGACTGAAAAAACTATGCTTACACACCCTACCTACTTCCTTGTATGCCAATTGAATTTTATTGCAATAAAACCTATTTGTTTTGTTGTTTATTCCATGTGTTGTATTGCAGTCCTTCATGACTTGGTTGCTGTGTTTAGTTCGTTCAAGTCAATCTTACAGTCCCTGTACCATACTATTTTCCCTTCTGCCCAGGCCTTACTGTAATGCTCTGGTTCTAACTGAAGCAAATCTAGACTTTCCACAGATTTAGGAATCTCACTGGGGCTCCTTTCAACTTAACTGTAGTTGTTTGTTTCTATCAAAATTACATATTTTCATAGACTATGCCTAAGTCAAAGTGAGTCCAATTTTTATAAGGAACCAAAGCTGAACATTCAAAATGAAAATGGGGGCAAAATGAAAGGTGGACACGGATGATTTCGCATCTGAAAACGCCAAAGCTATGAAAGTTGTGTACAACAAGAAATACCTTGTGAAATATTCATAGATTCTTGTTGAACAAAGGGCAACCATTGTCCACACGCATATTCCAAAATACACAGGGAATGTAAAGCTACTACTCATGGAAGCAATTGTTGCTAGGCATGCTTAGACTGTCTTACAGACCCTGAAACAACTATATCCAATACAGCCTATGCAAGTCTATAATGTTTGGCAGGTCTAGATTAATGCAGTATTAGGAATGAAGAAAGTCTCTGGGCTCCTTTTATTATATTTCATAACTATAATTTAACAACTGTTTTTATCCGTAAGATATGTTAATTTTAGAGACAAGATGTTAGTCTATTGCCGTCCCCGAATCATATTATTTTCTGCCCAGACCTTACTGTAATATGCTATTGCCCTAAATGAAGCAAGTCTACATCTCAATGGGGCTACTTTTCAATTTGAATGGGGTTGTTTGTTTCTATCAAAATTAGATATTTTCAGAGACTAGAGTTAATCTAGTTGGCAGCTCTTCACAGCCTTGTGGTCTCTATCTACATATTGCTTCAGTGTTGGGCAATGTTAAACTGCGGACAATTTTCATGCACAGAGTTGGAATCATTTGACTTCCATGAGTTATACATGGCCTCATTTTAATACTGGACTTGGGGTAGATACGCGTTACTGATGCACCACATAGCGGCCATATGTATTCACGGATGATGGAGAGACCCATCATGTACAAACCCGTGAAGTACTGACGATTGCTTCTGGTGTAGAACTCCATCTTGTAATAACACTTTTCCTCCGCAGGTAATGCCAATATTGTTATGTAATGCTTGCCAGATTGGAAGTTTCCTTGCACCAGATGATAGAATACGACTAAAATTCAATGTATTCAAGGAATCCTTTTCCCAACATCCTGTACGACCTTCACGGAAGAAGCTACCAGGGCGTATAACTCTTCCGAACACTCCCGTTGGCGCTAGACATGGAACTGGTTCCTTGGATACAAGGTCAAGAATGATAGAACAAAGAAAAGCCAATTCGTCCCGGAACTTGACACTGGATTCTGGCATGTCGGACGCAGGTTCAGAAGATTTTTATGGTTCTAGAATGAATGATACAGCGTCAACTTTACAGCTGCAAACAAGTCCTGAGGATTATGATGAAGAGTGGGAGACAGGGAGACCAAAAGAGGAAAGAATTGTGGAAGCCAAGGCAGAATATGGAGAAGGACAGAAGAAGGAAAGAATGGAACATGATGAACGAATGAAAAGAGAGATCCTGAGAAATGAGGTTAACACTGTGGAACTGAAGATTACGGTCCCTTCCATTACAATAGAAAATAGCCCGATTATAGAGTACACTCAATGTCAGGATATGCAGCATGCCCATTACAACCGACGGCAAGCTGGCTCTGAACAGGAATATGGAAGCATGTTTGGGCAGAGACACGCAAACATCCATGAGATCGATGATGAAGGCCAGTCTTTCTTCGCAGAAGGGGGAGACGGTAGGCTTTCGAGTGATCCACGGATCCGTTTTCTTGGGGCGCCATCGGAGTTGATGCTGGCAGAACATCTGAGGACCCTTCATCAGATCAGTCAGAGGGCCAAGGGGTCAAGTCGTGAGGTTCAACATGTCCCTCAAGGTGTTGCTGCTGTTCAGAAGCTGGAGCGAGCCATCCTCCCTGATGGAACCATCTACGAACTCCGAACTACTCTAGTTCCGGATCCTTCCTTTCATTTGACAAGGGACACATCCATGCAGACTGGTTTCCTTGAGGAATAACACGGTTGACATTTTGTAGAGTAGTAGTTATTGATTCTTTTAGCTTTTCAGATATAAAATTGTTTCGAAATTTTTGAATTATCGATACAGTTAGATGTTTCCTTTGAAAAATGAAAATATACCAAATAATGAGCATAATAAATAGCATTTGAAAAACTATTTTGATCATTTTAAATTTTTAATTGATATATATATATATAAAGTAATATCTCTGTTTAGCGATTATATGAGATAACAGATAGATGTAGCTTTAATAAATGTTTTACAAAACTTTTCATGGGATTAATTAGAATCTACATTCAGTGAAAAATATCTTAAAGTAATTAATATTGACCCTGTAGGAAACAAGTTATAAAGGGTTGTGAAACTTCTGATCAATTATTATACATGTTAACCACTTGCACATCTTACACAACTGATATTGGAAGATGTATGTGAATCACATACGTTTGTTACATTTTCATTCACCAATTCCCTATTTCAACAAATATGTCACTGCAATTGTATTTCTGGACTTCCATCTGCATGGATTTGTGTTCAACATCAGCAACACCAAGATGAATCATGTTGGTGATGAAGTGAAGGATGAACACTTTCATCACCGGACTGATGTGGAGTTTAACCCAATGACTTTTGATTGGCTGACGGGTGTCATCTTGGTGTGGGATATATTCTATAATGCTTGGTTGACCAATACCAAATACTACATTGTGCCAATATTTGAGACATTATCACGTGAACACTCCATCTTTCTTTTCATCACACTTGGATTGGACGCATCTACAGTTATTCCTTTTTCTAGTAGAATTAATTGTAAGTTGAAATATTTCTTTGTGGCTTGCATCTTGTAGCGAAACTAGTTACTGTGGTATGTGTTGTTTTTGAAGTGATGTTTCATATACATTTTTTGAGATTTATTATTGCATTTGGTAATTTTTTATTCACATGACTCCTCTAAGTTTTTGTCGTTTCTTTTCAATTGCTCATTGTGTTGTTCTGCGTGATGGTACAGAAGAGAAATTGCTTAACATTTTGGGAATATTTTTACAGTCACAATATAATCAGTTCTTTTGCTCTGATACGATACCTCCATTGCATAAAGAGCTGACAGATCCACCATAGGTCAATTTCTAATCATCCAATCTATGTCAAGACATCTAATTCTTGACACGAAAGATTCATGGCAGTATGTCTAATTTCTGTGTCAGGAAAACAAAATCAAACAGCCAGGTCTAAATGTAAATAATAAAGGCTGTGCCATTATGTGGTTGAGGATATGTTATAACCCTATGTTATGATGAACACCATGGCAAGTACAACTTTTTAAGGAATATTTGTGTTCCTTGTGGGTTTTCTGTATGTTAAAAAGGACATGTTGGAATCAATGTGGCAAAGAAAGAAAAGTGAATTGTTTAATAAAGCTGACACATGATTAGCTCAAGAACCCATACATCCTTCATTTAGATGGAGTGGTTGAAGTCCACTCAGATCTGATGGGACCTGTTATTGAGAGGTTATGAGATCTTCATGCAGAGAGGTATCGTATTTGAATGAGATAGGCAATTTTTTAATAAATTGGATGATAGGTATATTAAATTTGAAACCTCCAGTTAGAGCATAATTAATAAAGATAAAATGGTCACCAAAGCTGTATTTATAAAGCGCATTTATGTTTTATTTATTTGACATGATATGATGCTAACACTTTTTAGACACTTTAGACTCTGTTTCTATGATTAGAAATGAATTATATGCCATACAATGAAATTTAGAAACAACAACATTAATCAGTGGATTTCATTTTGTAAATTTTCAATGGAGGAGGAGGCACATGTATGATCAAAGTAATAATAGGAGTTTAACAAATGTCATTTTATTCAAGTGAATGTCTTGTTAAATTTGTTTGTTGTAATTCAGTAACTCGAACAAGTTGTACATTTCTATAATTCTCTCCCACAATTTATTGCACTTATTTCACTCCTTCTCCTTGTTTTTTCGTTCTTTATGTGTTAAATGTTTTTAATATTCTGAATTTTACTTATATTTCTGAATTCTAGTTTTATTGGGGCGGTCGGGTAGCCTAGTGGTTAAAGCGTTCGCTCGTCACGCCGAAGACCCGGGTTCGATTCCCGACATGGGTACAATGTGTGAAGCCCATTTCTGGTGTCCCCCGTGATATTGCTGGAATATTGCTAAACGCGGCGTAAAACCATACTCACTCACTCACTCACTCTAGTTTCATCTTGAAATGACTTTTATTCATGAACTCAGCTTTTCAATGTTGGGTTCAACTTGTCACTGTTGATATATTATCTATCTATATACCTACAGATTAAAGTTGTAAAAATGAACCATTTGCATCTATGCACAGTTAATGATAATATGGCAGTTTGATATGTAATATGTGACAGTTATATTTACACTTGCACTGAATGTTGTGAGCTGATGCCTTACACAAACTGTGTCCTGTTGAAATTACTTTTGTGTTTCCTTAACTGGAGTGTCAGTTACATGCTCTTTTATTTGCCTGTTTTGTCTTCTGATTTGTATACATTTCATTCAACACTTCTCTGATGTTTTCCTCCTGTGACATATTGCGCCAGCACTGCTAGATGCACTCACTCACTCTGTTAACTTCACATGTCATGGACCCGTGAAGATCTGGGGTAGAATAGGTCTTCAGCAACCCATGCTTGCTGTTAGAGGCGATCTTCAGCAACCCATGCTTGCTGTTAGAGGCGATCTTCAGCAACCCATGCTTGCTGTTAGAGGCGATTATGCTTGTCGTAAGAGGCGACTAATGGGATCGGGTGGTCAGGCTCGCTGACTAGGTTGATGCATGTCATTGTATCCTAATTGAGTGGATTGATGCTCATGATGTCAATCACTGGATTGTCTGGTCCAGACTCGATTATTTACAGACCGCCGTCATGTAGCTGGAATATTGCTGAGTGCGGCGTTAGACAACAAACAAAACAAAAAAAGACATGGTCATGACTGATTGACTCCTTTTTATTCATCATTCATTGATCGTTTTTTAAATATATTTTTAATGTATTTTTCTGTATTTTGTCATGAGATGGTTTTTAGTTGTTTATCTGGTATTTACTTTCGTGATGTGATTGGGTTTTGTCTTTGATGTTCATTGAAACCTTGTTAGCTCGCTCTCCATTAAATATTAATATACATATCTCATAATTCATTAGTTAAAATTGAACATGTAGCCCTGGGGATTCTGTGTTCTGATAGGTCCCTGGCCCTCTATTGCTTCTTGTAAGAGACGACTAGGTTGGATCGGATGCATGTCACCATACCTGACACGATCCACTGATTTGCAAGGCCAATACTCAATAATTTACAGGCTGCCATAATATATATTGCTCAAAAGAAGTAAAAGAACGCTAATTTTTTCATACGATTGTAGTTAATCTGTCATGGCTGGTGGGTATTGCAACACAGCCTTCCAATTGTGGGTGTTCTTTAACTTGTTTTGAGTAGTATAGCTAGAATTTTGCTGCGGCATTAACTAAAAACAAGATATTATGTGATCCCAAATCTAGAAAATCACATTGAAACCTCATTTTTCGTGTAATTTTTGTCGATTAGTTTTATTAGGGATTAAAATAAAAATGTAATGCCTTCTTAGAATGTCAGAAAGATATGGTTTCTATGGTAATAATGAAATTATCAAAAGAAAATGTTTGAGTTTATTTTTGCAGTATGAGTTTACTGTTGCAGTAAGCAACTGATTTAGTCTTCATCAGACACAAATGCGACTTTTATTTGTTTCAGGTTTCCGATGATGCTAGTGACATCACCACACAGTTGTCCAAAGATTTTGCACAGTTTGTATATAAACCAAAGAGGCCGCTCAGCAAGTCCTTCTCAGATGGGTGAGTTTACTCTCATTTTGCTCTGGCACAAGCCTGTGGAAATTACGGGTTAGAAAAGGTCCCCAACAACCTTTGCTTGTTGTAGGCAGCGACTAAAGGGATCAGGGGTTCATGCTCGGTGACTCGGGTGATGGCATGTCAATGTACCTGTAAATTATCGAGTCTGGACCAGACAATCCAGTGATTGACATCATGACCATCGATGCACGCAATTGGGATTTGATAACATGCATCAACCAATTCAGCGAGCCTTTACCACCCGATCTGGTTGGTAACCACTTACGACAAGCGTAGTCGCATTTTACGGCAAGCATGGGTTTCTGAAGACCTATTCTGACCCGGGTGAAGTGTGTTAGTTAAAGAGTAGTGAAAATCTAGACGGACAACCCCTTCAGCATAGACCAACAAGCATATCCTCACCATTTCACACTAAGTCCCTTGGTAAAACATTCAGATGTGGGGATGGCGTTTTGAGAATCTTGAAATAAAAATGCAATATTTACCTTTTATTGAAATAAAATGAGTTTTTTAATCATACTTAACATGATTTTGTATTCACTTTTGTAAACGTATATTTGTAATGAATATTTGTTTGTCCAGATTTGAGGAGGCCCCGGTGGAGAATGGACAGCACCACCCTGATGAGCTGACAGAGATGAACTTGTCCCATGGCTTCCCCCTCAGTGCAGCCAACACACCGGCCAAGCAGAACGGAGACCATGTTGAGGACGATGAAGGAAATACTCAAGGTACCCTACTCATAAATTACGCTTACATTACACTTACATTACACTTTCTTTACACGACCGCCTCCGTGGTCTAGTGGTAGAGCGTCCACCCGGAGAGCGGAAGGTCCGGGGTTTGATCCCCAGCCGCGTCATACTAAAAGATGTTAAAAGATGGTACTTGTTGTTACCCTGTCTGGCGCTCGGCATTAAGGGGCTAAAACAAGGACTGGTAGGCTCGGAGTCAGTATACTGTGTCTGAGTGGGATTTCCATGTTAAACTGCGGCATGGTATCTCAACTCACCTCATCTTTCTTTACACTTACTTTACACTTACATTACACTTACATTACTCTTACTTACATTACACTTACATTACTCTTACTTACACTTACTATAGACTTACTTACATTACTCTTACTTACATTACACTTACATTACTCTTACTTACACTTACTATAGACTTACTTACATTACACTTACTTACACTTACATTACACTTACTTTTATTTCACTTGCTTTACACTTACTTACATTACACTTACACTCACTTTACAACTACTTACGCCCCATGAAGATTCCGGGGTAGAATAGGTCTTCAGCAACCCATGCTTACCGTAAAAGGTGACTATGCTTGTCATCGGGTGGTCAGGCTCGCTGACTTGGTTGATACATGTCATCGATCCAAATTGCGTGGATCAATGCTCATGATATCAATCACTGGATTGTCTCGTCCAGACTCGATTATTTACAGACCGCCGTCATATAGCTGGAATATTGCTGAGTGCAGCGTTAAACAACAAACCAACCAACCAACCAACCAACAACTACTTATATTACACTTACCTTACACTTACTTTCATTACACTTACAATACATTACACTTACTAACATTACATTACATTACACGTACATTACACTAACTTTACACTTACATTACACTAAATTTACACTTACATTACAATTACTTTACAGTTACTTACATTACACTTACTTAACACTTACTTTATACTCACTTACATTACACTTACTAACATTACATAACATTACACTTACATTACACTAACTTTACACTTACATTACACTTACTAACATTACATTGCACTAACTCTACACTTACAATTACACTTACTTACATTACATTTACTTTACAACTACTTACATTACATTTACTTACATTACACTTTACACTTACTTACATTACACTTACTTACATTACAATTACTTACATTTACTTTATACTCACATTACACTTATATTACACTTACATTATACTTACTTTATACTCACTTACATTACACTTACATTACACTTTCTTTACACTTTCTTTACACTTTCTTTACACTTTCTCTGTAATGTTGTGTTGCTGTGACAATACCCTGTGTAAGGTGTTCACACACGTCATTTTGGTAATTTGTGACACACATAGCAGAAAAGGAAAATATGGTTAAAGGGAGGCAACTTGTGAATTATCTCCCCTTGACTCATGCAACAATAAATCAGAAAGTGTGGACAATTTGACAAAGTACAAAATATAATAGCAACAAACTCAGTGAGTACTGTTTAATTGGTCTTGTTAACATGAAGTTCATAAGAATATAGGGCAAGGCAATTCCTTGGTCTTGTTATTTGGAACTTATGAGATGTCATGTTTTATGCAGAGAAAACAGACATATAGTACTTATTCTGTTTTTGTAGACAACATTTACAGCAATCAGGAGGCCATTGAGCAGCTGGAGGAGGAGAAACAGCAGGAGACAAAGCAGGAAGAGAAGACGGAAGAGAAGACTGAGGAGAAGACTGAGGAGAAGACAGAGGAGAAGACAGAGGAGTCCCAGGTAACCAGATGTCAAATTGCACACTTACGTTTTTTCTGAAAGTGGAAGGTCTGTGGTTCAATCATCGCCCACGTCACACCCAAAGATATTAATAGATGTTACTTGTTGTTTCCCTGCCTGGCGGTGGGCTTAAAAGGACGGTTGACTCGGAGACAGCATAATGTGTCTTGATTGGGGTATCCATGTTAAACTGCAGCACTGGGCTAGCACTGGGCTAGCACTGTAAAACTGACATCAGTCTGGACTAGTACATAAACACACACAAATGTTAATACCCTGTACATGTTCTTATGTAAAGGAATGAAATAATATTGAACTCGACTTTAAACCGCATTTCACCTCATCTCACAATGATTTCTTCAGGGATGTGTTAGAAGAGCTCAGTGTACAATATGACTATTTATGGTATATATTCCCAGTAGGTGTACAGTGGCATACATATCACAATGCAGCAAAATTTATGAATGACTGTGTTAAATTCGTAAGATTATAAACCCATTTGAGTTTGTGAAATAGAATCCAAGACTGTCTGTTGATGGATGATGTAGATTTCAGCCGACATCATCCCTGAATCTTTTATGCGACCAGTTTGTGTCAGTTTGGAGTTTAGAACGCCTCTGTGGTCTAGTGGTAGAGCGTCCGCCCGGAGAGCGGAAGGCCCAGGGTTAGATCCCCGGCCGCATCATACCAAAAGACGTAATAGATGGTACTTGTTGGTACCTATCTGGCGCTTGGCATTAAGGGGCTAAAACAAGGATTGGTCGGCTCTGAGTCAGTATACTGTGTCTGTGTGGGGTATTCATGTTAAGCTGGAGCATGGCATCTCAGTGAGCTAGCACTATAAATCGGCATTAGTCCAGACTAGTACAGGTAGCCAGACACACACATGTGCATGCACGTCGCTATATAAGTGCAATAATCTTAGACGTGACGTTAATCCCCATTTCACCTCACCAGTTTGGGGTTTATCTAAACCCATCAGACATAGGTAGCAAATGTTTTGGCTATATAACAGAATCACAAAGTCAGTGAAAAAATCTCTGCCATGTTTAATTTTAGGCAGAGCCAGAGGTCAAGGTCAACAATGATGTCACAGTCAATGGTGAGGTCAAGGTCAATGGAGATGCAGCAGACACTCACTCTGATCAGTCGGATGAAGACAGACAAGGCGAACCCAAGTCTATAGACATTCCAGATTACCCACCCCCGCAACCGCCACCAGAGGGAGCCACCAATGAAGACAAGAAGGAAGATGCCAAGAAGGACAACGTGGACAGCTCCGACGTGAAGGAGATCACAGAGGACAGCGTGTACGACGAGCCGAAGCCAATCAAACAGGAAGAGGAAGTTAAAAAAGCAGCAGTATACCAAGTGCCCCCCTCAAACAAGCCTTTGAAGGAACCTCCTCCGGATGTCCTTTATGTCGTAAGTTCAGGCCGAGAGTCTTTTCACTACATTGTCATTTAATCTGTAGCGCATCATTAGGGCCAGGGGCAGTGGGGTAGCCTAGTGGTTAAAGTGGTCACCCATCATAACGTCCGGGTTTGTTCCCCACATGGGTACAATGTGTGATGCTCATTTTAGGTGTTACCCTGCTGTTATATCTACTGGCTTCGTCTCATCATACATATATGTCATTTAGGTATGAGACATGGACATTTAGATCGTCGACATTGACAATTAGATTTGAGATATATGGACAGTTAGTTTATGAGACACAGACATTTGTATATGAGACATATGGACATTTGTATATGAGACATATGGACATTTGTGTATGAGACATGGACATTTAGATATGAGACATATGGGCATTTAGGTGTGAGACACATGGACATTTAGGTATGAGACATATTGACATTTAGGTATGAGACATTGACATTTTGGTATGAGACATGGACATTTAAGTGTGAGACAAATGGACATTTAAGTGTGAGACAAATGGACATTTAGGTATGAAACATATGGATATTTAGGTATGAGACATTGACATTTTGGTATGAGACATATTGACATTTAGGTATGAAACATATGGACATTTAGGTGTGAGACATATTGACATTTTGGTATGAGACATATTGACATTTAGGTATGAGACATGGACATTTAAGTGTGAGACAAATGGACATTTAGGTATGAAACACATGGACATTTAGGTATGAGACATATTGACATTTTGGTATGAGACATGGACATTTAAGTGTGAGACAGATGGACATTTAGGCTTGAGACATATGGACATTTAGATATGAGACATATGGACATAGTTGCATTCCATTACCACACTGTGTACAAGATCTATATAAGGGGTCTTGTTTCCTTCAGGTCCAGTCAACGCATCCGTATCAGAGTGAAGATCAGGATGAGCTAAGTTTCGAGTCGGGAGAAATGATCTATGTCATTGCGTTTGAAAACCCAGAGGAGCAGGTAATTACCACAGGCAATCAACATTCAACCACTGACTCATGCATTATCATCCAAGATACATGTCAAATATTCTTCGTGGTCCAAATGTCCAAGGCACTGCAATATTTTTTGTTGCGTTCAGTTGGTACAGTTACAGTCATACAAGTAATATATTCACATTACATTTATACTTAGGGACTGGCCATTTATTATGGAGGGAATAAGCGCTGGGATTCATCTTAGGACTGTATCATATTTTTACTCACCCATCCCCCCACCCCCATTTTATGTAACTTTTTTTCATGGACCCACCAAATACACGTTACAAGACCACCTCCATGGTCAAGTGGTTTAGTGTCTGCCCGGAGAGCGGAAGGTCCGGGGTTCGTTTCCTGGCTGCCTCATACCAAATGATGTTGAAAGATTGTACTTGTTGTTACCCTGTCTGGTGCTTGGCATTGAAGGGCTAAAACAAGGACTGGTCGGCGCAGAGTCAGTACACTGTGTCTGAGTAGGGTATTCATGTTAAACTGCGGCATGGTATCTCAGTGGGCTAGCACTATGAAATCGGCATTAGTCTAGACAAGTACAAGCAGTCATACAAACACACGTGCATGCACGTTGCTATATATAAGTGCAATAATCTTGGCCGGAACATTAAACCCCATTTCACCTCACCTGACATGTAACATTTTGTCATGACAAACACACGAATATATTATCTGTTTAATTGAACTGCGGCACTTTTTCATGCCCCCTACCCCCAAAAGATTGTGATGTATAGGCGACCATTTATACAATGAAGTTATAATGAATGTCCTACATATAATAAATGAAAGTACAAGAGTTTATGAAAGGGGATTTAGTATAAGTAAAATTTCCCCATTTGAAGTTGAAGCGATGCCTTGTGTTGTTTCTTTTGGCAATAAAGTCTTCGACATAATTAATATCTTTCATAACTTTTAGATTTGGTGAAGCAAGGGTTTGATCCTTTTATACAAATAACATAAAATTATCTTTTGCTGCTTTTACATTGGATTGAGAAAGTTGTTATTTAGCCCTCCCAAAAGAATTTCTTTGTTAGTAAATTGAACAGATGTCCTAGTACATCACATGAGAATTGTTTAAAATTTCCCCAAAGTTGTTTACAGTTGTGCATTCTGACTACACATTGTATATATTTTCTTTTGCTATTCCACAGAAAAATAAGGTATTGTTGTAGACTAGTTTCATTTTCAACAATTCTCTTTTAGTTTAAAAAAAATTGTGAAAGAATCTTTGTTGAAAATTTAGTAATTTGGTATCCTGTGTACTTTTTCTATTTTGCAAAAAACGTTTGTCTACAATCTTTGTCATTATTTCATTCCGTTTCCCTTTTCTCACACACTTCTGGTTGGTTTACTGAAGCGATGAAATTATCGTGGAACAATGTAGAACCTTTGGCTGGCCAGGGATTCTTAAATTTAGCAATAAAGTGTTGACATCAATAGTTCCTTGAATACTATCTCGCAATGAGTTTGGTACACTCAGCGTCATTATTGAGGGTTCACACAGATAAGAGGTGCAAATGTAGCATTTTTAGCTTCCAAGAGTGCAGTTCAGTTGCATCTGGAATGAATCATTGCATCCCACATTGACTGTTACTTGTCATGTATTGCACATACATGGGTTTACCCATGGATTACACCCAGGCATGTGTTTTGGGTAGCTTTTCCCATCACCTTCAATCTTGCACTTTTTATTGTTTTTAATAGTCGTTGTCCATTTTTCCAGTTTTGTAAAAGCTTCCAATCAGTGACATAGGAATAAAGAACATGTTCTTCAACTGTTAATCACATTTTATCATCCACAGGAGATATCGCTTGGATGAGATCAAGAGATATTTACACTGTCGATATTGCTGCAATGAAATTACATCACAATGCTTTGCAGACCATTGTGACGTCACTGGTTACCATGACATCACAATCAAATGACATCACTAATGGCTCTGCTACTGAAGCTGTTTGCAGGACTTTTTACACTGAAGACACTGCTAATTACTGTCTACAAATTGAAAAAGTTGAAAGAATGATGTTGGATGATAAATAAAATCTCACCCTCGTGTCTTTTGATATCAAATATATCAACACTCGTTGATAAAAGTGGCAAAAATCCTCGGCAAGCCTCAGAATTTTTCCACTTTTATCAACTCGTGTTGTTTAGTTTAATAGATAATTTGTGATATATTTTAACCAAGCATCCAGTGTGTCTTTCCAAAAACATATCTTAAAAAAGAAACCACAAACAGTATGGGTTTTTTTTTTAGGTAAGGTGTCATTTAAGAGCAGAGACAATGAAAGTTCTAACATTTAAGATTCTAAGTCCACCCTCTTCATATTTCCGTATTAGATTCTTTCTTTTTATCTTGTCTTTCTTATCATTCCATATAAATTTCCTAAATACATCATTTATCTCTTTAATAAAATCTTTAGGAGGGTTTGGGAGAGATGTTAATATATGAACTAGTGTTGATAATGCCAATATTTTGAACAGTTATTTTGCCAATCAAAGAAGGGCTTTGTTTTTCTGTTTTGAAAGAATTCTTTTGATTGTTTTAATTCATTTTCTGATGTTATCACCCAAAGATCTCTTATTTATAAGATTTGGCCATTTAGTGTAACTCCTAATGCTTCAAAATCTCCATTATGCCAGTCCAGTGTAAGTCTTGATTGAGATTTCTTTATCTTCCTGACATTGATCCTATCCCTACTGCCTTCGTTTTATCAATATTTATTTTAAGCTCAGACACTTTTGTAAAATTTGTATAATGTGTTTTGGCTTTGTTAAAGGAGGCATCAGAATCAGCTAGAAATAATTCAATATCATCGGCATACTGTCCTAATTTATGTTTTGTGTCATTAAAGATAATCCCTTTTATATTGTTATTTGTTCTGTTCAAGATACCTAATGTCTCAGCTAAAAATAAAAATATATAAGGAGAAAGTGGATCTCCTTGTCTACAACCCCTTTCCTTTCAACAAATTTGATAGGTGTCCATTTTGCTCCAAAATACACTGCAATTTGCTGTGTATCCCTTTGGCATGCCAGATTTCCTGATTGTATTTCTAGGTTTGTCAGCACTAACCCTTTCTGTGAGTCTAACCAAAGTGATACATGTCTGAGATTGCATCACTTCAGGCTTTCCTCCTACATCAAGCTGACATGTCATGATATAACTGAAATAATGCCCAAAGCAGCATTAATCCCAACTCACTCACACACTACTGCAATACATGAGTGAAAACAATTCTTTGTGTCAATCACAGGCTGGAAGAATGCTGAAGATTTTGGATGTTAAAGCAGAAAACTTACCGGTACCAAAAACTCACTGAATAGGATTTACAAATAAACTGAACCTGCTGGAAGGATTGTGAGAAAGATAAACCATATGTTTTATTTGAATGCTGGTTGTCATTTAATTTTGTGTTGTGGGGGCACAGGTGGCCCAGTCGTCTAAGGTGCCACGATTCGCTGTGCAGAGTTACGTCCCTTTGTCACGCCAGAAACCTATGATTGTGGGTTCGAATCCCGGTTCACCCTGATCATTTTTCTAGGTTTGTCAGCACCATACCCGTGCTTGTGGGTTTCACCAAAGTGGTAAACGTCTGAGACCTGCATTTCTTTGGGCTTTCCTCCCACATTAAGCTGACAAGCCGCGAAACAACTGTAATACTATTAACAGCGGCGTTGAACCCAACTCACTCACTCACTCACTCACTGATTTTGTGTTGCTAGGATGAAGGCTGGCTGCTGGGCATCAAACAGTGTGATCGCAAGAAGGGAGTGTTCCCTGAAAACTTCACTCGCCGTCTTGGACAGGATCCTTGAAGACCGCTCAGACAGGAGTAGTAACTCGCTAGTATTTATTCTGACCATAATCGGAATCTAAAGAATTATGTTGATGGAGAAGAATTGTTCAGAGTTGAAAGTGGTGTCAGTGCAGATGAATAATGTTTGAAGGTACAGTACCTGTGTCTGAAGAAGTTTGTGTTTGAAGAAATACAGGTATCTGCCAATTTAAAAAAAATGCCTCTATTAATACGAAGCTCAAAGTTTAGTAATGCTGACTGTCACATTAATATGTTCAGTAGAAATCTCTGCATGTAAGTATGCTTTATACAAATTTCAGCATGTTGGCTGTTTGTTATTGCTGAACCCACCATGATGAAGCTGATTGTGTTTCTTGCTCAGAGCTGTCCCCAACATGTTAACTCTTTACATTCCAAACAATAGTATATCTATTGTTTTTGCTTTCTCTAAGCAATTAGCAATCATTACCAGTGAAAGTGTCTTCCGTTGGCCCTGTCAGACTTGTCACTCTGCATGTATAATGTACATTAATGCCGTTGTTCAAACAGTTGACAAAAAAATTCTTTATTCTTCCATTTATATCTGTCTCTTGTCTTCAATTCCAAAAAGTGAGATTGTGACAATTCATGTCAAGAGAATACTACTTAAAAGCGATGTTTTATGATGTTTTATCAAAGGTTCTTCTGATCAACTTGATGCATGGCAATGAATGTTGGCAAGAATATGGTTGATGGTAACAGAAGGTTTTAGGTTTAAAGGATAAGACATTCAGCTGTCTTAGATCAATTTTTTAGTGGTTCATGTAGACAATTGACATATCAGTGTTGTATGAATTGTAAAGTGCAAATGAAGCTATTTCATTTCTTCATTTGTAAAACCATTTTCTGCTTCTCTTGTAAATATGGATTGGATTTTATCAGAATCGTTCTTTTTGATGTTTTGCATATTATTCATCTAGCTTTGTTTCTTATATCTCATTTCTCAAATGTTTGCATCGTTTGTTTTGATAAGGTCAGCTGGAAATTCCCTTGCTTGACTTTATCAGCGGACAGTGGTTTGGCAAGTCGACCCAGTCATTGTCCTACCGATATACATATGCAAGGAGAGCGAAGGTAGATGTGAACATTGCATGGTGTCTCCACTCTCCCTTGCCAGTGTATTTTATTGCTGAGTGAGTTTGCTGCTTGGAGTATAAGCCTCAGACTGTCAGTACTAGAGTTGTCATGAATCACAAAGAATTGAGAATGTTTGTCTGATTACATGATTATCAATACACCCACCCATGTATCGACTAACTTACGATTTTCAAAAAGTAATATTTCTGAAGTTTTGCAATAACTGCCAGGCTGCCATGACCTGTCACTGAACAAAATGCTGACTGCATAATACCATTAGAATGTGATGAACCAGTTAAACATGTTAAACACAAACTTCTTGATATGTTGACCTCATGGAATTTCACCAGATATGGTGCAGATTAAGTTTCTCGAAAGTTATCGTTTCAGGACTGAAGTTTCTTTATGTGTTGTGATTCAAGACGTAGGTGATTGTGGCACCACTGGTCAGTACCAGTGATTCTTTTCAACCAAGAAGGAAATGTCCATGGCTTGCTTTTGTTTGGACTTTCCTCCCACCATCAAGCTCGCCAACAGGGACAAAGCTGAAAAATATCCTGTTCAAAACAGAGTTAAACCCAAAATATGCTAATGCAAGAGTTGCATAATGTGATTGTACTTACATCATGCAAGATTATCAATGATCCCTTCTTGATAGACTTTTAATAAAATAAATTAGAACAAGGTTTATGAATGATTTATGTTTCCTCAGTATCAGGTAGAAATTGCCAGTGGTTGGCAATGATCAGCAACAAATGGGGTCTGTAATGGTCTGATCTTTCTGTAATGTAATCCTTGCAAGTAGATCCTTTGGAAGAAGAAGATCCTTCTATCCAAGAAAGTAGGTCCTTTGGAAGAAGATCCTTGCAAGTGAATCCTTTGGAAGAAGATCCTTTCATCCTTGCAAGTGAATCCTTTGGAAGGACATCCTTCCATTCTTACAAGTACATCCTGTGGAAGTAGATTCTTTGGAAGAAGATCCTTCCATCCTTGCTTGTAGATGCTTTGTCACATTATTTCAGATCCTGACACCAGACTCCACAGATGCTCATTTCAGTGTTAGAGTGTGACCATGCATTTCACCATGTTGATCAACATTTTTCAGAATTTTTGATGTTCATGTTTTCCATTTTGCAACACAGTATCATATACTCCCTTTTACAAGACTCTGTTGTATCTACCATTTACATTCCTGTTGAAATATGTGGAAGTGGTTTCACCATTTGTGTAGCTGTCAGCACAGGTGCTTGTACGTGTAAAACAATACATCAGCTTCATCTTCTGGATGTTGCTAACAGATATCTTGAGATTTGTTTTTTAAATGTTTATTCTGCCTTTCTATTGTTCACAGCTGGTATAATAGTTTCAAATAAATATTGTATATTTTATTATCTTGAGGTGGAGAAATATGTTGAAAGTAATTCCTATGAGATTCTTGAAATGTGAGTTTGTAAGAAAAAGATGACATTTTGTTTTATGCATTTAGAAAATAAAAAACAAACCTATGAACAATGAGTGTATTCAGTAATTAAGTATTTTAGATACATTTTCAGAATTGGGATATATATATATATGATTTATGTTTGTTTGAATTGATTTCCATTATTATGTACATGTTGTTAATCTAGTAATGATTACCACCGTAGTATGTTTGAATATGTACAATTTCTGTTGAATTCTGGAGTTTTCTTCAAAGTATTCCAAAGATGTATTAGATTTGAGGGTAAGTGATATTAAATATGACAATTATATATGAAGAACATTTTAAGTTTTGAAGATATTTTATTTTTGATCTTTTAGTTAAAAAGTTGAGATTTATTACATATGTATATTGAGTTTAATGTATGTAAATGAATATACTCAAGTTCTGTATTTATTTGCTGCTGTTAGCATTAGAGGAAATATGATATAAATAAAAATATTCAAACCAACCTTATTAATTTCATGGATCACATATTAATGTTGATGGGTCCTGCAAACAAATTAGTTAAAAGATCAAGTGCAATGTGTTATTTACTGGATTTTTTTTTATAACAACAAACACCAAACTTGTTTATTAAAAAAAAAAAACAACTGAGTTTACACTGTTTGCAGGGACTGCAAATGGCTCTGAGGTTAAACAAATAAATTCAGATGGCCAGTGGAAAAAATATTCCATATTCATTTTTGATTTCTTCTTCCAACTTTTGAAAAAAATAACAGGCAGATTTGTGATCGAAGTAATAAAAAGGTTGCTTTAACAAAATTAGTTTGATGACTTGAACAGAATTTGAAAATGAAAAAGTTATTTGGGCATTGTGTGTACAATATTCTATGGTATAACTCGATGTATGAGTTTTCGCATTACCTCCTGTGTAACTTCAGTATTAAGGTCTCGAGACTCTTCAGGTCTGCTGTCATTTCAGCTGTAGCCATGTATATACTGTAACCAATGTTGGATTAGTGTATGTGATACTAGATGTATCTGTGAAACATATATGCAAGATAATGTAGTAGACTGTAGTTCTATGTATTTGTACTTTATCTTCTCAAGGATCCACACATGCTTAAAAATTGATATCACGTCTTCGTACTTAGGTATGAAATTTCTGTAATCTTAATGAAATGAAATATTAAGTTTATATTGACGTAAGTTTAAATGAACTTTATGATTAAGGAAGGACTAAATTTACTTTTCTATATACATATATTTCTTTGCAAGATGCAGGAGCAAAAATTAATAATTTTTTACAGGGATGAACTCAGGTTAAATACATTGAGTGTAAAGTTGATAATATTATATACGGATTCCGACTCTCTTTTTTTAAAGATATGTTGCTTCTATGACTAATTGTTTTATTTCATTAAGTGGAAAAGGCAAATAAAATACAAACAAAAATGCATTATGGTGTTTACCTTTGTACAACTTAAGGAATGCAAATCTTTGTAATAATGCTTTAGTAAATTTGTATCAAGATTTTTTTATGAATTAAATTGTGTTTTTTTTTATAGATTTAAAGAAGCTAAATTCAGTCAAAGGAAACCTAAATCATTCCCGTATATCATTTTACATGTCTACGGTGAACAATAACTTGAACTAAAGTGTTGATTACCTTAACAGGGGTTTGGATTCAGCTTTAATATATTTTTCCATGTCCATAGTTGAAATAGTATGAGTCTGTTCGTAATGACTCTGTGGTTTTCATGATAAAGCAACCCAAATAATTTATATATTAAACTACCTATGGTAAGTCCTTATTTAAAAATGATAATTCATTCCAAGAAAATGAGAAAAGAAATTGCTGATTCCTCACTTCAATGTACTTTAATTATTTTTTTATCATTTTTTATGCTTGTGTAGATATCTCCAAATGCTTAAAGCATCTGATTGTTTAGTTCAAACATTCCTTACTATGTAGTAGATGGCTTTAAGGCAATGACCATACATAATGTTGAACAGAACGCTCTTTGAGACGGAATATTTTGTTGGTCAGCACTTCAAGACAAAAACCAACTTCTCTGTTAAAGGAGAAGCCCAAAACATTTTAGGGTACCCACAAAACATTTTTCAAAACATCCAGCGTGTCCTTTGGAGAAAACCAAACCAAAGGACATGTTACTTTTTCAACATTTTGGGGGACAGATTATTTTGTTTGTAAAGAATACCAGCCACCTTCCAACAGAATATGAAATGGTCATCCCTAACCTGATGACAGTGATTCTGTAGAGAGCTCCTGTGCCAGATGGTTACTCATTCCAAACTAATGCATTATATATTTCAACTATTTCTTCAATGATGGCATGAAGATTTCAAGACTACTTTGCTGGTATTTGTAAGTTAACAGCATATTTTTGGTATCTTGTCATCTCATATCCTGCACTATCAACTTAGAAAGAGGAATATTTTTTATTTTTGTTACATGTGCATTTCATGTCATATGTGATGGTCAGATCATTTGTCTAAGAATCCTTTGTTTAATCAATACTATCGTTTTCAGTCGATCATCTATTTTGGATTAGACCCTTGTAGTGTTTTCATTCCATGTGTTTCATGTCATATGTGATATCCAAATCATTCAGATGAGAATTATTCGTTCAATCTAAAATCTTTTGTGGATTAGACAAATTTACTTGGAAGTCATTTTGATAATTGTTTGCACTGCAAATTTGAATGAAAGAGGTTTCTAGATTCATACCATGTGGTTTTAGCAGACTAAGCTGATGATTGTGTGTCACAGTATGATTGTGTTTCGTTGCTGAGGCTATCAACTGCTGGTCCTTCTGAGTCCTATGTTTTCTTGCAAGACGCAATGAAAAAAATGGAATATTTGTGATGGGAGCATTAGATCTTGCAGATTCAGACACCCTCTTCTTTTCATAAATGATCTTTTCTTTAATATGTCGGTAAATTTAAAAAAAATGAACAGTTAAATATATTTTATTTATAAAATGAATTACGAATACCCCCCAAAATTATAATGATGCATCTAAATTTCATTGACCACATTAAAGTTTTGAGTTAAACTTGGAGGTAATTCTTCATTAGCATTAATTACATGTTTTGCCATGTGTATGTTAGTTATTTCAATTACATTACTTTATAACTTGTAACTCAAAACACCATCATCCTGATCAGAACAGCACACATGATACAGTTTGTTTGTATGTTTGTGATCAAGCAGTCAGTGATATTACGGTTGACTTCTGGATTTCAACTCTGTATTCTTTCAGGCATTTTCAGAAAGGATTCACAGGTGAAATGAAATAAGCAAAACAATCACTCAAGAATTTCTGTTTTTAATAAAAATAGTTTGAAACGTATTGATTATTTTGAGGAATTATTGTTTTCTAAAAAAAATGTAATGCATATTTTTTGGCCATATTTCCTGCAGCACATCTGTAGATAGGTCATCTTTAATAAACTCCACCCTGAGGTCCTCATTAATAAGCTCCACCCTTAGGTCCTCATTAATAAGCTCCACCCTGTCACCAGGCAGTGAATCTCACAACAGCAAACCATCCTTGCGTGAGTAGCATGAATTCCATATACAGCTGGCTCATGGAAATAGTTGCGTGTGTGCTTCTTTAATCATGCAAGGATCTGCTGGTCTTCAGGATGAATCCCCCGGATAATGGTTCTTTGACTCGCAGCATGTTACTGTGCTCATGGTTTTCTTCAAAGTGGTAATGACTTACCTCATTCTGATAAAAATGAGATCTTTTACTTTGATACGATACCTCATCATGATCTGACCACACCTCCAAAGGTAAACCCTGATCAAACTGTCTTATCTAACTTAAGGATGCATGGGTTCTTTAGGCAATCAGATGTCAACTTTTTAAACTGATTTGGTTTCATTTCATTTCCATCTTGATGCGGAAAGTTTGATCCTAGGAAAAGAAAAATGTCATAGAACACACATACCCTCTATAGTATGTGAGTGAGTGAGGTTTTACGTCGCAATATTACGGCAATATCAAGGCGGGAACACCAAAAATGGGCTTCATACATTGCACCCATGTCAGGAATCGAACCCGGGTCTTTGGCGTGACAAGCGACCGCATTAACCACTAGGCTACCCGACCGCCCCCCTATAGGACGTACTTTTGCATGTAGATGCTCAGAAATGACTGGATGTTGAAACTATCCACAACAAAATTAAGGTGAGGCTTTATGCCAGAATTCCTTGATTATATTTGTTTTTGATATACAGAGAGGAAATATGCTTGTCGAGTGCTTCACACATACATGCTGGAAATTTAGAAGCCTTGATGCTGATTAGCTGATTAGACAGTTCACTTGACACAACCTTCAATGGAGGTGTCCTCAGATCTTTGAATGGTGACGTAATGGATCTGATTTTGATTGGACTTGCATCATATGGGTTTTCCTCACAGTATGCTGAAAGGGCTTGCATAATTAAAAAACTGTATGTGTTGGTTAACCTAACACAACTGCTGATGCTGTAGCTAGGCAAAACGGTTGTAATGAGGGAAGATGGTTGTGGTGGGCGACCTTCTACCAAGTGTTAATCTTTGCTTGGCTGCATTGGTGTAACGTTTCACTCATCAACAGGGATCATCATGCATGATGTTAAAGGAATGTGTCAGTTGGATCCAGAGCCTACACTGCTGTCTTGTAATTTCACCAAGCCAAATTTATTCAGCACTCAATTTAATAGTTATTTTTCCTTACTTCAACTATATTTTGCTCCACAAAACTTTTTAATGCCAAATTTTATGGAATGTTTATCACAATTTGTAGGCAGGTTTTTAGGCATGTTTACCATTCAGACCTGGCTTACCATCTAGACATGCTTTACATTCTAGACCTGGCTTACCCATCTCCTATAACTGATTTACCAGGCCTTCAAGGTGTTCTTGTCCAGGATTACCAGTTTTCTATATGTGGTTTACCTTTTCTAGATATGGGTTACCAGTTTTCCAAATTTGACTTGCCAGCCTTATAGATTAGGTCAACCAGTTTTCCAGATTGGCTTACCATTTTTCTGGATTTGCTTACCAGTTTTCTAGGTCCAGCTTACCGGTTTTAATGATTTATTGTACAGATAGGAATTTCTTTTTTATAGTTATTATTGCTTTTCAGATTGGATCAAAAACGAAATGAAAAAGCTTGTGTCATTCCACATAGATTAGACTTAATCTTTAGGGCAGCATAGAATGAAAGATAAGTTGAATAATCATAACATGCTACATCAAAGAATTGACTGATACATGTTATTGACTATTAACACTATGTAATCTTGTTACGTGCAATATTGTTCTATATGAACAGGCAAGGTGTGGGATCTGATATATTGTCATATGCAATATACAATAAACTACTTAACTGAATTATTTTGTTTGTTCTCCTTTCATCGCCTTGGGAATTTGCAGTGGAGGGTCCCTTTTACAATGCAATCATAGAGCTGCGATGATCGTAACTCCAATACTTCAACACAGACTTACAACAGTCCTAGCACTAAGAAAGGGGGCCCATGGCCCAGGGATGAGGATCAGATTTTAATGAGAATGGTGTCATTTTGTGTGTCTAGTGTGTAAAACCCAACCCACTCCCTGTATTGGTGGCCTACCCTTCTTGGTTGTTGCAAACTTCTGGTGTGTGTCTAGTGTGTAAAACCCTTCTCATCCCTATACTGGTGACCTACACTCCTTGGTGGTTGCACACTTAGAGTGTGTGTCTAATGTGTAAAAATCTACCCACCCCAAATACTTGTGGCCTTCAATCCTTGGTGGTCACATAATTCAGGTGTGTGTCTAATGTGTAAAAAATCTACCCGGCCCCTGTACTGGTGGCCTACCCACCTTGGTGTTTGCACACTCCAGGTGTGTGTCTAGTGTGTAAAACCCTACCCACCTCCTATACAGGTGGCCTACCCACCTTGGTGTTTGCACACTTAGGATCTGTGTCTAGTGTGTAAAACGTTTCTCATCCCCTATACAGGTGGTCTACCCACCTTGGTGTTTGCACACTTAGGGTCTGTGTCTAGTGTGTAAAACGTTTCTCATCCCCTGTACTGGTGGCCTTCAATCCTTGGTGGTTCCACACTTCAAGTCTGGGTCTCCTTGGTGGTTCCACACTTCAGGTCTGGGTCTCCTTGGTGGTTCCACACTTCAGGTCTGGGTCTCCTTGGTGGTTCCACACTTCAGGTCCGGGTCTCCTTGGTGGTTCCACACTTCAAGTCTGGGTCTCCTTGGTGGTTCCACACTTCAGGTCCGGGTCTCCTTGGTGGTTCCACACTTCAGGTCTGGGTCCCCTTGGTGGTTCCACACTTCAGGTCTGGGTCCCCTTGGTGGTTCCACACTTCAGGTCTGGGTCTCCTTGGTGGTTCCACACTTCAGGTCTGGGTCAAGTGCATTAAACTGTACTCACAACCTATACTGTGGCCTTCACTCAGTGTAAAACGGGGTTCATGAAAGGATGTATAATTCTTCAAGAGCCGAGGGATACTCACGTGCTGTATCCAGCCAAATGAGAGAGAGATTTTGTCCTCTATTTTGGCCTATAGTGGCAGCCAGTGAAGTTGTGTCAAAGTTGGTGTAAGATATGAGTATGTGCCGGTTTGTATTGGAATTCTATAGACATATGTATCAGGTAGCAAGTTTTAAAAAAAAAATTATATATGGGTTCCCCACATTTTGAACTGTACTATTAATATAGACTTCATTGTAATGTATCACAGAAATAATATCTTTTTTTGGTAAAATTAAAATAAACAATAAAATATTACTATGTGCAACAACCCTATTGGATTAGATCGTGAAGCCAGCTAGAATTTGAAGTTAACTGTAACTCAAAAGTTCAACATCTAGGATGAACTAAATATACTATTCAACGTATACTATTCAGCCACAGGGAAACCACCATCCAGCCACAAGCTAGAACCATCAGGAGCAGTGTACCACATTCGATGAAATTGTGGACAAACTTACATAGGAGAAACATCTAAGCCCCTCAAAACCCGAGTAAAAGAACATCAAAGCTCAATCTCCAAAGATGACCCTAAATCAGCGGTTATGGGCCGGAAGAGCGAAACCTAGCCATAATCAACTCTAAAATCTCTTCGCTTTCGTGAAGCTACAGTAAGACTGGTCACGCTACAGTAAACACGGGATATTGCTATACAGGGACTCTCAAAATACAAGAAAAACACAGAAATACGTATACCGTAATTACAGTAGTATTATTATCATCATTATCATGTGCATTATTTTCTTACCTGCAAAGCCGCTTGAAGAATGCCGTTTTCAGTGATCACCGACGCTCTGCAGGCAGCAACAACGCAGTTCCAATACTTCTTCTCACGGACCGTTTTCTTACAACGAAACTTGAGTGACGAATCTCTCATAAAACAAGAGCTGACCACCTCGCACGGTATCAACCATGGTCACTCGAACTTGTGCATTAGCCATTTTGGACATAGATAACTTACTTACTTCGGAGATTTAACGTGCGCTTTCCGACTGATGCGTATTTCGCACACGGGCCCGGCCAGGCCATTTAATGTGTTTCCGAAAGGGGCGAAAGTGGTCTGTGCAACCCAAGAGGGGGGTTTAGGGGTTGCTTATATAGAATTTGGGAATTTTGAGATTTGGAATAGATGCAGATGGGGTTGGGGAGGAGAACTAAGGGAGCTGGGTATGGTGGATGTTTGTTTGTTTATGTGATTTTGATTTGGTAGGTTATTGTGTTTGTAGGTGCGTTTTATTAGTTCCGTTTTTATTAAGAATACGCCTAAGGCCTTGAAGTTTTCTAGTTTATTTTGTGGGTTTAGTATTGCTTCTAGAGTGAGAGCCTTGTTTAGATTGAGGGTGGTTTGTAATGCGGTTCAATGTGTTAGGTAGTGTGTGCAGTGGATGAGTGCGTGTTCTGGCGTTTCTGGTTGTTTGCAGTGTGGGCAGTTACCTGTAGTGTGTTTTTTTATTTTTTTTAGGTGCATAGATAAATAAGTTGCACTCTTTATATATACCATCAAATACATACTGTATGTATTCTTAAGAAACGACTCTCCTCTAAACCCATCGGTATCATAACCCATATCAACTAAGAAACTAATTGTTTGTTCAATTAAGAAACTGATCATCTCTTCTCCTGTATTTAAACATCCAACTGTTTTATTTTTTTACGAAACGACTCTCTAGTAAATCTCCTCTCCTCTCCTCTGTTTGTAACAGCACGGGCGCTAATCTAAACTACGGTAATCCGGTGTTTTTATAGCAATTACTCATTTTCGCCTTCGTAGGACAAATACCCCAACTTGGGTTTTCGCTTTACTGATACTAGAGAAAATTGGATATTCGCTAACCCGGCACGACACCAAATCAGTTCTATCAGACCACATCCGTGACAACCCAAACCACAGCATTCAGAGGGAGAGAGTCACAGCCCTCACCACCAACCTCAAAGACTTCAAGATCAGGAAACTATAAGACGCCATCAACATCAAAAGACTCCAGCCGTCAATCAACCGTGACCAAGGCTATTACATACCCCCGGCGTACCATCAACTCATCAAAGAACCCAATCAGCCATAATCACGTTGTTTATATTACTGGCCTCATCTTTTGTTTATGTCACTGACTTCACCGATGATTGTCATCACTACCCCTGTGTGTACATAACAGGCTTCTCTACTCCAGTATAACAATATCTACTCTACTGTATAAACATTGCCTCCTACTTGTATAGATACTTGCCGACAACACTCTGTATATCACTTGCTTGATAACGGTGTTAGAACCTACACCGAAACGTCGATCTTAATTGTAATAAAGAAGTTGTTCATCCATAAATTCTTATCCTTACTTAATCAGATATGTCGTATGTACTTAAAAAATACACTTGTCATATGAGAATCAGGTTTGTGTTTCATGGAAAGATAATTAAAATATCCAAAGTGGAGTTATACATATTACACTTTAGTCACTATAGGCATTTGAAGGAAGTGAGTAATTGATTGAATTTCAGTCTGTTTGGGGTCATTAATTATTTACGAAAACGAAACCAGATTTAACTCTTCGTCATGTGATGTTATTGGCCTACTCACTGATGTTTAAAATCGTCATTTCTATGATGGATATTTAGATTTGGAAGAACACGAAAACATGAAAACCTTGTATAGATAACAAGTTGTTAATTGTTTGTAAGGGCGGGCGAGCGTGTGTGGCGACCAGAGGAGATTTACCTCAGCTGGCCGGAGAGGAGCGTGGTGGCGATGTTGTACTCTATGTCTCTGTGAAACATTTCTACGGGATCAAGAGGACATTAGTCTGGATGGGTATGTATGGTTCGGTAATAACAGAACAAACCTGCATACAAAGGCTAAACGTGGATCTGGCGGTGTTGGGGTTCTTATAAAGACATCATTTTTATCTAGATATAAAGTTGAAGCACTGGACAGTGACCAGGAGGATGTGTTATGGCTCCGTTTGTCTTCTAATACTACAGTCGAGAATCTATGTTTGTGTGTAGCGTATCTACCTCCAGCCGCTTCTACTAGGTCACATGATGCAGAAGAATTTTTTGATATTTTACTTCAACATGTTTATGAATATCAAAATCTTGGAAAAGTTGTCATCGCTGGCGACTTTAATGCACGCATTGGTAGTAACTCCGACTATATCGAAGGTGTTGACAGTGTAGGGGAAAGGAATGTGATAGACGAGAGCGTTAATGCAGCTGGGTACCTACTACTAGACTTTCTTATAGACTGTAATATGTGTGTTGTTAACGGTAGACTTGGAAACGACAACTTCACTTCTGTGTCGCATAGGGGTCGGGCCGTAGTAGATTACATTATTGTGCCTCATGAGCAGCTGAATGATGTGTCAGATTTTAACGTGCATCTTATGTCAGACGTACAGAATTTTACTACTCAGATGGGATGTGACTGTATTCCTGATCATTCTGTACTGGATGTAACGCTAGACTTACTTGCAATTCAACCAGATTCTAAGTCTGACGATATGAAGCTGTTATCGGGTTGCTGGGATATACCAAGGTACAATGTAGCTAATATACCGGACAGTTTCCTGAATGATGAACATACTGCACGCAAATTACAAGATACACTTCAGAAGATAGACGATGCCCTAACACAAGGTCAAGACGCTCACTCTGCATATGAGAAGTTTACTACTTTCATTAAAAAAGAAATGGACTTAAAGCTAAATAAGATAAAGACATTTACTGAGAAAAACACCAACAACAGGTATTATTGTAGGCGAAAGCCATATTGGACTGATGAATTACAATTATTATGGGATGGGGTTGGTGTAAAGGAAAAACGCTGGTTGTCTTTTAAAGGTTGTGTTCATCGTAAACGTGTTCTTAA